CGTAGAATCACAGATAGCGTGCCCCAACGCCATTTGGCAAACGACGGGATGCTCGTTGCTTCCAACATCTGAGCAAGTGCGTGGAAACCTCGCCTCCTCAGGTCCATGGAGTAGTTAGCAAGCCTGCACAGGCCAGCATTACAAATTAGCGCCACGTGCGCAGTATATACTGCGAAACGTCGCCGAACTATGTTCAGATTGCGAGCTGGGAGGTGCATGTGTTACACAGGCGCTGTGTGTGTATGTGTGTATGTGTGTATGTGTGTATGCGTGTGTGTGTGTGTGTGTGTGCGTGTGTGCGTGTGTGCGCGTGTGTGTTCGTGCGCACGCGCCCACACATTGCCACTACACAGTTGCTGACACTTCGGCAGCACGAATAGCAAACCAACCGCGCCCGAGGAACGTGCACCCTACACAATCTAGTATGTGTTGAGTTAACCTATGCGTTATAACCACTCATGCCTTTAGGCTCGAACGGCGCCCAGGACCCGAAAGCCTACGTTCCAGGCAACCTTGATTTTCACACAATCGATACACGTCGTATTTCGTTTTTGCTACACAACGAAACACAGTCACGGGGCCAGCCGATTGGAAACCCAACGCGGCCTTGGTCGATTCCGTAACCAAGATGTGATTGCTTTCAGTCTCTCCAGCCACCAAGGAAACCGCCTGTACAAATACATACCAAAACGAATTACTCCATCCCACAAGTGCTTCCATCCAGGCACGCGAATAGCTCGGGGAAACAATTGGTCGCGCCTCATGGCGCGAGGCGGCAAGTACCCACCGATGATGCGAAAGAAGTCCTACAGGATGTCGCCACTGATGGCCACGAGCGCCTCTGTGCCCAGATCTGTGGTCAAGCTCCTGATGTGATTGCAGACATCCACCATGCGCCCGTAGGTCGACCCGAACATCAACCACAACATCCATAGAAGTGCAAACGTTTTCCCGACGCTACCGAACAACCGTTTCGGCAAACATATTTGTGGCAAGAGTCGTCGACGAAGTACGCCGTCTTGGACAATATCGGCCACAGCAGTGTAAAGCTCCAAGCCCCTCCCAGGAGGACTCGAGTCGCACCAAAGGTACAGATCCAAGTCTTTCGACGTACTGCTGAACTCACGCCAGAGAAGACAACCGGCCATGTCCAGCCTCGCTCGGGACTTCCTGATCGTCTCGTAGCTCAGATGCGTGAGCGTTGGCAAAAGATCTTCTGCCGAGTCCTGACGGCCGTGGGCTAAGAGTTTAGCGTGTGCCTCGCACGACTCTTCTTTCCTTCTCAAGGCCTTCAAGTGCCGCGTTGCATCCATCCAATTCAAAACGATGTCACACGAGACTGTCCCTCCGAAGCCCTTGTAACGACGAACTTTCAACAGAGGGTGACTGCGGCTGCGTTTCCGAGAACCTACATCTGGTGTTGCACCTGCTGCTGATTCCGATGGCGCTGCCGGCAGTGTCCCCCTCCATTTCGAAATCGTGCTCATTTTGGGGCCCCCTGCCAGCAGACTCGCATGGTCCAACCTGCGAGTCACTGCAACAACATGGAGGGTATCTGCATGATTCACCACGTGCACTGCCAAGAAGGGGTGGAGGATACACGAAAAGGTACGGCCTCGACCAGGGCAGCGCCAAGAAGTCAAGTCATCTCCTGCAGGCAAGCGTTGGCCAGCGAGGGCATTGGATTGCCGCTCGTGTAGAACTTGCTGCAGCCGAGCCCACAAGTCACATGGCTTGACGGCTTCATTCACACACCACGCTGAGTCGAACACTATGCGGTCACGCACTTCATGGACAATAAAACCACATGTTGCACCTCGCGTCGATTCCCTGGCATGTGAGCACCATTGCTGCGCGAAGGGGCTTAGAACATCAACCTCATTCTCACGTCTCAGAGTCCAGCGCGCAACAACTGCGCCAACGATCCGAGGTGGCGCTTCGAGAACCTCTGTGCCGAACACTTCTTCCAGGTCGTCCCAAAAATTGTGCAGCTGTCGCCTCTGCCACTCACGAGCAGCTATTACAAAGAACAAGGACCATCGGGACGTGGCTGAGAGATCGTGAGCATCGCCCTCAGCCAAGACAGGGACATCTGCGTCCTGGTCGATGTCCATGGACATATTGAGCCAAAACGGCTAATGAATTTAGGACGGGGGAGGGTGATGAGTTTCATTATGATTGCTTTGCGTTTGTGAACAGGGCCTGTACGGAGGGAGGGCAAAGGAGGCATTGGCCATGGTGAGATTAGGAGGGTTACGTGCTTACCTAAGGGTGCGAGGGATGGAGCTTTAGGACGTTGCGTTGAAGTAACGGGTGTTAGATTGACTTTGCATGTTTATGAGTGTTAGTGGGCACTAAACGATAAAATGTTGATAGAGGATTTAGTGTCAGACGGTTGGGGTGCGGTTGAGGCTCAGCTTGGTTAATTATTTGTCGTGCGCATCATATTGCACATCTTCCGAGCCTGTCTCGAACGCAAGGCTCGTGGATTAAACATCAGGCCCGTCAAAACCGACGCAGGGGGAGGAGGGTGGAGAGAGGCAGAATGAAAGAGATGTGGAATGAAAAAGGCTTGGGAACAGGGGACGGGCCGGCACACGGACCTCTCTCATTCTGGATCCGAGCCATCTGCATGCCCTGGCGGCCCGTCCCTGAACCTGGCGTTGGCTGCGTCGTCAAGCCTGACAGTTGAGTCGATGAGCCTATGCATGAACTGCAGTTTCGTCCGCAATGCTTTGATGCGACGAGTCTGCAGCTTTACTTGGAAACTCAAGAGCCTATTCTTCACGTTCAGTTTTGCGATCCGCTTCTCTTGGCGTGTCTCTGGGGCTGAATCTTGGATCGCCTTCGGTGCCATCGTGTGTCAGTGACGGAAGGCTCGAAAGAATTGTCGGAGACGGATGGGCCGCATTTCAATCTGTCTTGAGCAAAAAACGCAGTGGCAACGGAAGGCCGACCATTGCAATTCAAATGTTGCTGGCCGACTCATCACTGCAATCTATACCAGAATTGGTCCACTGTTCAGCGCAACGCCATGCGAAGTTCAGAGCCTTACATCGTGCAATACAATAGTGTCGGCCCAGACCTCAATATTCATGCAACGCATGCTCAATGCGATCCGAATTTTCGGTCCACGGTGCAATGCAATACAATGCATATTGATGTAGCGTGCCCTACCAGCTTTAAATGGCTTGTGAACGCGTGCATGCAAACACTCTTGGACGTCGCACGTCAGATAATACGCTGGGCCCTCTTCATATGATATGGAGCTGGACGAAATTTGAGGGGGAGGGGGAGGTGTTGACGGGGGCTCTCTCGAGGGCCTTGGTGGGATGAGACCTGGTTTGGGGAGTTGAAGGCGCAAGCCCTGGTTTCACTAGAATGGGGACGCACGAGGGCTTGGGGGCCCCTCTCCAGGGGCGCCAGGTCTGGCCGAGGCCCCGGCGCGTTCCCCCAGAGCGCCAGCCACGGCGGCCGCGCGGGATTCCGAGATGACCTGCCCGCGCCGCCAGCTGCTTCGACGCCCATCCTCCGACGCCCCTCTGCCGAGCTTTCTGCGCACGGCGCCCCGGGGCCCCCAGTGCCCGTGCTCGCGCCGAAACGCCGGAGGCTTCCAAAAGGGGTTTTGGGGGAGGCGGTCTTCCAGAGAGCCCCCCGGGGGCCTCGGAACCTCGTCAAAACAGGGGGTGCGAAGCCCCTGGGGGACCCCTCCTGGAAAACCACCCTCCCCCCAAACCCCCTTTGGAACCCTCCAGGAAACGGGTGACCTCGACCCTGGTGCTCGCGGGCCGCGCTTTGCGCGCGCCGCTGAGCGGTGGAATCGGGGGGCGGACGGCTTCGGACAGAAAGCTTTCGCGTGCATTCTCGCGGAGGGGTGTCAGATATCGTTGAACCGATTCCCATGCCCACTGGACCATGGTAATTCTCTCAGCCCCGTCAGCCAACACCCCAGGTGGGGATAGGCCCCGCAAATCCCGAAGGGAACAGCACGTATCCCCATCTGGGGGGTGCATCGGTCAGCGTGACCAAGGCCATGCCAGTGGGGATGACTGGCTGCTGACTGGCTTTAAATCCATTGCGGACGCGTAGATGTCATAAAAAAGGTTCAGCGTGCCTGCGTAGTCATACAATGCACGCCGCTGCTATTGCACACAATGCGCCTCACAAGCGAGCCGTCGGTATCATATGCAATTTATATGATGTAAATATAAATGTATAGATAGTTGCACTTGGCTTTCAGTTAAGCTTGAAGACTACTGTTTTGATACGGCTTTTTCCATTAGGTCCTAGCTGCTGACGCGCGAGATATGAAATGAGGTATCCGTAAGATCTGGCGCCGACATGTGCAGTCTAATGCGTCGAGCCTGTCTCTATCCTGTTCCAGTAGCCACAGTAAATCCAATTAGTCTACTAGTTAGCTGAGTATGCAGCTGCTGTAAATGAGTATTTTAAACCGCCGACCAGCGACGCCCACAATTTGGACAGCTGTTGAAAACTACTTTGGCTTCTCTCAAGCGCCTTGATCGTTCATGGCCGACGCGTCCACCATAGGTTACGAGTACCCCCCCAAAATGTGACTTCGTGTACGATCTTGATTAGTTCCCCGCTTGGCTTGCCCACAAAGTCAACATGGACAATTTGAAGCACCGTTTTGCCCAAATTCAAACCAAACCGTATCTCCCCACAGTAGCGACCAGCATGTTTTGTAAGTTTCCAGAGTGTTGAGATGCCAGCGCGGTGTCGCCGGGATATAGAATATCCTTGGATATCGAATACCCTGGATCTTGTTGAAGGTGGAGGTCAGAGAAAGCGTCCTGAATCATCGCCCTGTTTCCACAATAGTGAACAAATGCGGGGATAGTGAACATCCCCGTGCAATGACAGCCGCTTGACGTCGTACCAAAGGGGATGGGGATCGGTGAACTGATGCTCATGATGTATGCTCCCCTGGCGTCAGTAACCCCCCGCCTCGTGTCGGCTCCCCGGACCGCCAAGACCAGGTGGCGGTCCTGCTCGGAGGGCCAGACTGGCCCACCAGGAGCCCTCCCGCCGCCCGCCCGCGATTCGATTCGCCGCGGCTGGGGCCGCGAGTCCGATTCGATGCGAGCCGGTTCGAAGCACCAGCATGGGCCAGGAGCAGCTGGAGCCGGGCGCAGCGATCCACTTTCGGTTCGATTCGGGACGATCCGTTTCCGATCCGATGCTTTTCCGATCCGATCGGGCTTCGCGATTCGAGCCAGCTCAGGCCTGCGGGCTCCCGTTTTCCCTTCCCTCGTCGCCACGGCTGGATTCGCCTCGATGTCTGGGTCAGATCTTATCCTGGGAGAGGTCTGTGGAGCAGCGGTATCTCTTCTCTAATGTTGTTTGCCCAGAGACGCAAGTTGGTCCCGAGGGACACGGATCAGGGATGTTTCTGACGTTTTCGGGGCTCCTGGGGGGGGAAGCCTCAGGATCCAGAGCCCGTTTTCCTCAGAAGCCAATCCAAGACACATGTTCACGGCAAACATGAAATTAATGGCAATCCAGAAGGGGCAATGCTTTCGAAGGATCGATCGGTTGTTCCCAACCATCCTGTGGTGTTGGGTCCTCGTTTTGAAGAGACGGTGCCCCGCGTTTTCCTTCCTCCCGCTGCCCCCTCCCTCCTGCCATCATCATCATCATCATCATCATCATCATCATCATCATCATCATCATCCGTAGCCATTTTGGCTCAAGGCAGGGGCCTCGCTGGCGCAGCAGAGGGCTGCAGTTTCTCTCGGCAGAAGACATTCACTTTCGTTTCTCGACCACTCGTCAGGCATGGCGCTGGCGGCAGGCGGAAGCGCTAGCACCTCGGGAGGCCCTCAGGATACGTTGCTCGCGAACATTCAGAGGATGCTAGAGACGCAGGAGAAAAATATCACTGGCAAAACGGAGACGCTCATCAAAGAACAAGCTGCTGAAGTACTCCAGCTACGTACGGAGGTCACGGTGAGTATGCACTACATGGAGAGTAAGATCGACACGGCGACGAAGGACACCGACGCGCGCATTTCGAAGTTGGAGCAGATCATGACTGGACACGGCATCCCTGTGGAAGCTGAAAATAAGAACATCAAGGAAGCGAATGAGAAAGTTGCTGCATTGGAAGCAGACATAAATAAATTACAAGCTATGCAATCAGCTACACCTTCGACGGCATCCTCTTTCGGTGGTTCGGCTCGCACCTTCTCGGATTCTAGTGGATCGAAGGCCAGGCGCGTTGATGGCCCCAAGAATGACTCGATAAATAAGACTCGCAAATGGATTGGAACATTCCCTCGGATACTTTTTGCTCGTGAGCGCAGATTGCACTACACCAACACGGTACTACCCCTTCTTCCAGCGGATCTTGCGCAAGAGATTACGCCCATCTTCCCTCGCACCGCGAAGACATACAGCTTGGATTTCTCGACCGAGCTTGCCGCCAAGAGGTTCCAGGACCTTGTTGCTGTTTCACCTGATAGTATGAACTGGACGGACCCGCGGAACCAGAGCGTCCACCAGATAAAGAGCCGTGGTGACATGCCGCTTGATGTTCGGGTTCGGCAGAGAGCATGCAGCCACATCTACGCCAAGCTTCGAGATATGCTATCCGCAGCTGGTCACGACCTCTCCAGCACGCGCCTCGGGGTCAATGGCTACCAGGGCATGATCAACTTGTATGGGGATGCAGACAATGGCGAGATCTGGGAGATGATCTACATCAAGGGCAACGAAGTTGCGGGCTGGTCGTTCGAGCCAAACCTCACGAACTGCCGCATCTGGAAGCTGAGTGACGAGGCTGTCATCGATGCCATCGCGACGGCCACCACTTCAGCGAACAACCCGACCGAGTACCTGTGAGAACTTGGTTCAGAGGCTGCCGAGAGCGTGCCGGCGCAGGCCGTATGTTCTCGCTTGAATTTGTTGAACAGAATACCGGGTGCCTCTGCTATGTGTAGTCGAGGTGGACTTTCCAGGGATATTGCAGGTGATGTGGGGCCCAGCAATATGCCGTTCTCTCCTCCCTCTGCTCTCTCGATTGTCACTTGGAATGCTCATGGTCTTTTTGGTGCGGTGAAGGCTACGAAGTACGCGACCGCCTCCAACCGCTGGGGGAAGTTCATTAGTCTCAGCCGTCGTTATTCAGTTGTGTGTGCACAAGAGACGCATGGTCAAGTAGCAGATGTGTCGCATCTCCAGCATGATCTACGCAACTCTAGCATTGGTCACTCGTTCAATGATGATGATAGTCGCACTGGTGGTGTTATTACAGTTATGTCGTCATCCTTTTCTGCACTGTTTGATTCGATTGAGCATATTCCACTGATTGTCGGTGGAGTTCTTCTCTCTGTCTGCAAGGGGAAGCACGGCGCGCTCGTGATTGTGAATGCGCACCTCCCTAACGTTTGTGATCCCATAGCTACGTACTCTCACTACCTTTCCAGGATTTCTGATGCCCTTCCTGATGCTGCTACGAGTTTTAACATTATCCTCGGGGACTGGAATTTTGCATATGAAGATGAAGGCAGGCTAATGACTGATGGGAGTGGTTTTAGTCCAGGAGATAGGGCACACACTGACTTGTTCCATCGGAAGTGCGGTTCTTGGGTTGAGTTCTTCCAGGAATCTGATACCCGACGGGAAATACGGGACAATATTATTTCTCAGACGTCACGACTCGACCGCATATACTCGGACATCCCTTCGGCTCTCTTGGCTGATCTGACCATCAGCACATCTGTGGTGGGGAGGCTTAAGAATATCCAGAGCTCGGACCACATTCCCGTCCTGTCGGTGATCGAGAGATATGCCCCACCCGCCCATGCCCAAGCATTTGTTCCTCTCTGGCTTGCTCGTCATTCTATCTATCAGGAGATGCTGTCCTCTGCTCTTTTGGCTATGCTTGCTGAAAACGACCATGGCCAGCAATGTGCTCTTCAGACTCTCGCTCGCACCAAAGATATCATGCACACCGCGTGTAAGCGTGCCAAGAAAGCTATTGCCAGTCGACCTGCCTCGACGTTATCTGAGAAGTTGCACTGGTCTCTTCATTCTCTTCGTGGTTGGCGTTCGTCCAGGGAGCATATGCTTATTCGTGCTATTGAATGCTATGAACATCTTGGTAGTTTCTTTAATCTTGTTACTCTTGAGCTCGAACATCCTGCTGCTCTTTTTGCTCATATCCAGTCTCTGCAGACCCAGATGCTAGACAGCGAGGCCACACTGATTGAAAGCTCCCCGTCTGAAGAGGCCACCAAACGAGCCGCCCTGGAGAAGATAAGTAGGACACAGGACATCTGGAAGCTGTTTCGAAGACGCACCTGGCTTTCAAGTGTGAACGACGCTCATGGAGATCCCTGCTCTTCTCTGGAGGATTCGGCGGCTGCCCTTCGTGACCACTGGGGTGCCATCTTTGGGGACTTCGAGGCTGACACCACTCTTTGGGATGAGATCCTGCGCTTTTCTCAGAAGGCCCCTGATATCTCGGATGAGTTCTGGAAAATCGACTTTGAGGAATTCAATCAGATGCTCCAAGCCCGTTCCCCTTCGATGCATGGGGGAGATGGATTGCCGTATCAATGCTGGACGATCGGACCAGCTCCCAAGATTCTGTTTGCTGTATACTCGGGATTGTGTGACGGCAGCGTCTCCGACTTGCCGACGGATATGCGACGTCTGCTCATGGTTTTCTTGCCTAAAGGTACCAAGCCACATGATGAAGGCCCGATGCTTACTCGTGATTGTGCTGAGACGCGTCCATTATCCATGGGCAACACAGATGCTAAGCTGCTCTCCTGTGCTTTCTGCATCCCACTCTCTCGCATGTCTAAGACGGTTGTTGATGAGTCCCAAACATGTGTGTCTGGCCGAAGTATGCTTGGTAATGTTGTCTCTGCCGAGAGCTGGGGAATTCAGCAAGACCTCCTGGGGCATGATCGTGCCGGTATGCTGCTTACTGATTTCGCTGCTGCATTTCCATCCATCCTGGTCGGTTTCATGCTTGCTGTGTTGCAATCGATGGGCGTCCCTAGCTTTGTACTCGTGTTCTACACCTTGCTCTATCGTGATAACTACGGTATCATAACACTCGGGGGCAAGAGATTTGATGGTTTCCAGATTCTCCGTGGTGTTCGGCAGGGTGACCCCAGTAGCATGTGTCTCTTTTGTCTCTGCCTAGACCCCATCTTGCGATGGTTGCGATCACGTTCGGGCACTCATATTCGACGGTCACTTGCATATGCTGACGACTGCCTATTTGCGATGCACAACATCCTGACATCCTTGCCGCGTGTCTGGTCCTTGCTTGTTCTCATTGGTCCTGCTTGTGGTCTCTTTCTCAACTCGAAGAAATGTCAAGTACTGGTCTGTGGCACTCTGAATCTAACTCTTCTTCGCAATAGTGTAAATGAATATTCCAATGGCCTGGCTGAGATTGAATTCGTTAGATACGCTAAATACCTTGGCATATATATTGGCCCTGAGGCGGGGGATCTCGGATGGCAGGAACCTCTAAGAAAATTCTGTTCTCGGACCCGATCTCTCAGACAGATGGGTCTTGGCTTAGCTGTTACATTATCTACATTCCAGGTTATGTGTCTATCGGTCCTGCAGTTCGTGCTTCAACTATATCCTGTCCCTCAGCATGTTCTTAAGATATATCAAGAAACTCTTCAACTTCTTATGGCTGCCCCCAGACACTCATTCTCGTATAATATGATCACTCGCCTTAAGTCTCTGGGTCTTGACTGTGAAGCACAGGAGATTGTCAACCTCTCGGCTGCCTCAAGGGTTCGTTTCGCTGCGTCGTGCTCGGCTGTGGAACAGGCTCGCAAAGAGATCCAAGAAGTTCTTCACTCAGGTGATCGTATTGTATCTAGATGCTGTATTTGGTTCCGTCCCAGTTGGTACAGGTCCTCGTTTCTTTGCTCCATGTTCGACGTTATCACGATAACTATGGCTGTGATCCCGAAGCTCCCTGACACTAATAAGAATCTTCAACCAAAGATATACTCGGCTCTTCATAAACGTGCTCCC